AGGTGACCATACACAGAGAAATTGCCTTGTAATGTGAGGGAATGCATTATATCAGAGTGATTTATGAAGGGCTGGTATTACATTCCCATTTAGTGCTCTTAACACATTGACGACAGTGTGACGCGGTAACGCAAACAACTTTGCGCGCCAGGTTGGGCATTGTGACGCGGTAACGTCACAATATTCGACCCAAGTCAACTCTTTTTCTCGCGCTTCGCCACTTATTCGAATTGTTTATATTTATTCCATGGAGCATTCTATTACATAACTGTCAACGACATGGTTCGCCGCATGGCTAAATATGCTTCAGTTTAGCAGAGGTTTTCTAGCGCTACGAAATTGGAAGTTCGGTTCACCTTCTTCTTTTTCTTCTTAATCTCATGACTATGTATTCAAAGAAGAGTAGTAGAAGTAAATACAAACCCATACGGATAGAAAAATAGATGTTTTTCTCGGCATAACCACGTCAAAAATATTAGTTTGAGCGGAAATCATCCGCTGTTTTCATTTCACACATCAAACACATTCTTTCAAAAAAAACATCAAAATATGATTAATCAACAGACGCTCTCGTACAGTCCTCTCTACAACCGTTCCTTCACCACAGGCTTCACTGATACGAGCAGGTGTAGCAGCATTCGGTTTCGAGCTCAACTTGCACTCATGTAGCGTGAGCAATCTTTTTTGTCAGCTCCATAGTGAAGCAAATTCACATGCATTGTAAACCAGAATGTATAACAGATTGCGCGCTTCCAGACTACATTACAATCTTCGAAAATAATCAACAAAAAATCAAAGAGCCGTGCCTAACGGTGGATAATTTCCGCTCGAACTAATACTTTTGACGTCCACACAGGAAAAATGGTAAGGTTTGCTTTTTCATGACCAATACACATTCTTTTGATCGGAATTCCCTCCTCAACCCCCGAGCAACTTCTACACATTATATTGTTGTTACGGTTTCGTGTCTTTCGTGCTTTGCATAGTTACCATTCAAAACTTACGGGTAGGAGGTGAGGAGGCCGCGCTTGAAAAGCGCTGCTGTCCCACCCACGTTGAGCACTAAGACCCAAGACGCAGTCGACACGCGGCGCTATCGTCACGTGTTGGGCGGAAGGTTTTCAATTTGTGGATTTACAAGTTCGCTTGCAGAAGATAATCGTTTCACACCTGTATACATCTCGTTCAGATTATCAGCCGATATTTTCTGAATGCTCAATTTTAGTACCAGCAACGACCTCCGTCGCCGCCGATTCCACCGGTCAACCTTCTGAATCGCTCTCCGCCGTCGATTCTTCCCAACAAGCCACTGAATAGGTGGCCACCTTCAGTCCTTCCAAACACGCCACAAACTCCAACACACCGCAGTACCGAAAGATTAAATGGACCTGTGCCACCGACCACTCTTCCACCAAAGCGGAAGAATCATATACCGAGACCACCCTCAGCTGTACCACCAAATTTTGCACCACCCGGGATGACCCCTTTTTTGTTCAACAGAGCGATGAAAATTGAACGAAAAGGCAACGTCTTGCTTTGACTGAAACTTGTCTCCGATGGTCCTCCGATATCTGAGGTCGAGGGATCACGTCGAACGTATAGCAAGAACTTACTCCGTGTCGTTGCGCTCTGTCTGCGTGTACATCACCCCTCACACTTAGCAAGCGCTCAGCATCAACTGCAGCATATTCCGCGTGCCTGACTCTTGGTGAGCTTTTCTTACCACCGACCAAGTCAACATTATCAATTCATTAGTATAAAATCTGATACTGAGACATGTTCAAATAAAAACTAGTTGTTTTATACTCAGAGACATAAGTTCCCGATATGCTCTATCTTTTCGATGCAATTATAATACATGAATGTTTACATCATATATGTATAGACTTAAGCATGGTTGGAATTTCCCTTGATTTGTTGTCTTTAAGTTCATCTGCATTCATGTACTACTGAAAGATTAAAGCTTGTGGATACTTCCCTATTTCTTTGGTTGGTGTCAGTTCTCTGACTAGTACACATCGTATTCCGCAATGTTTTCTTGCAGTACCTGTTGCACACCCTTGTTGAGCGTTACAGACGTGAGCTTTACGAGACATATTTTTGTTGTCTTTCGAAGATTTTTGAGTTAAAGTTTTGGGGTTGTTGGGTCTAGGAACCACCGGTCTGAAATTCTTGAGGAAAGGGCGTGAGAAGTGTCCGGCAGGGAAGATAAAGCATTTTGAGAAGGGGACTCCTTGCTGTCTTATCCTAATTCCTACGGAGCTTCCCTTTGGGTTTTGCATTACCAAGGGTAAGATAATATGTGGAACGACACATTTGAGGTGCCCTTTTAATGAGTATCGGTGGATATTCATCATTCCACACATCCTGCCTGCATCCT